AGCAGAGGACAACAAATGGAAAACCAAGAAAAACAGGAACAAACAGACCAAGACTCTGACACTGGGACCTCTTAATACCAGGTTACTCTCTCTTTCTGCTGCTGTTTCCAGAGAAACGGATGAATTACAGATTTCGGACCTTTTCTTGGTTAGCCACAGATCTAACGCTATGCAACTCTGAAATAACTACTCTCCCTTTGAGATTAATAACGTATTTTTCAGTTGAATCGAATAACTCTTTTATGGATGTAATAATGATGCGTTGTTTCTTTGTATTTTTTTAAAGTTGCTTTATTAATATTTTATCCTATGAATGTAAGCAGGATTAAATGTAAGCAATGACTTGTGTTAAGGGGTCTTCTTTTACTTTGAATTGGGGCTTAGATCACAAACTGGTTCTTGATGCTCAAACTTACTATAAATGACAGAAAGGGGACCCCTTACTGAGAAATAAAACCATCATAATTATTCTTATTTTTTTTTCAGCGATAACAGCAATAATGACCATTTTGTAACAAAAGTGCAGTTAAACCGAGAACCTTTTCACCCTTCCTGTATTTGTCACCATAGTTACTCCCACTGCTTGTCCTCCAACTGGAGCCTCCACTACGCAATAACATCATTAAACCACATTATTGAATCCAAGCAGCATCAAGTCTGACACTTATCTCTTTTTCCCACATTTCTTCCCCCCAGCAACATGTTTCCTGCCAACCTGGTTCAAGCAACATTTCAACAGGTGAGCTACACTTCTGAAGAACCAATAAAAATGCTTATAGGACATAGTAAACATTTCTGGATATTTACGTAGGGTGTTTTACCAAAAATTGAGGCAGGGTATGAGACGTTACAAAACCTGTATTAACCTAACAGAGATGCTTATGTGCAGAAAACATATAATTGTCAGAAACTGGTCATATGAAACCAAGTAAACCCCTGTAGCTCTCTTAACTTACAATTTAGGGTAAAATGGTAACAAGAATAGGGAGAGATTGTTTTCTTTTTATATTAAAATGATTGCAGCTAACAAACCAGTGGCTGTTTATACCACAGTCAGTTGCATTTGTTTGCAAATTAACAAACTCTTTGTTGACTAGAAAAAGGGGTTCCCACAAATCCCAGCCTGTCATCCCATAATACTCCTATCATAGATTGGCGACCGGCCTAAAAATACATATAAGTAATAATATTCCTTTTTAAGTGCAGTTATTTTCCTTAAAGATTTAGTCAAATACATTTAAAATGTACATATAACTCAACTTTCAGTCATTTATTTCTGTTTTTCATGATTTTATGGTATATTTAATAACTGAATAATGCTTTATCACATATTTTATGGGGCATTTATGTATTTCATGATATATACCTCCATTTCCTAGAGGTGTTAGCCTAATCATTTTGTACAGCAACAAATCCAGCTGTTATTTTTATTTTATTTTAACTGAAACATTTTTCAATGAAACAAATACTCCTAAATCCAGCTTTCAAAGTCAGAGCAAAATGAAACACCGCAGTAGTTTAGATGCAGTCTGATATCCGTCATCTCCTGCACCTCTTCCTCCTAAAGAGTGGGTGATTTTCCTCTGATTAGTGGATCTTGAATAGGATTTTCTGCATTATTTTATTGCAAATAATCTACTTTTTTGGTTGTTTGTTGAGCTCCATTTGTTCTTTGAAAACACAGCATGTAATGTAACATGTAACTTGATTGTTATCCCAGATTATAATGTAGATTGTTATAAATTAGAAACATTAAAGATCGCATACTGCCAGCTGCTTCATAATGAGCCTAACCCTGGTATTACAGTTTTCACTCTGAGTTTGCGTTGATTATTGTCCTGATGCAGTGACCTCTGCTCTATTTCTGGGTTCAAGTATCGAACGCAGAGAGTGGCAGAGCTGATCCCCAAACCAACAGTGGCCCAGCTCCTGGATGAGACCACCACACGGCGGGTCTACATCTATGGCGTCCAGGACGACAATGGCACAGACATTCAGAACTTCTCCCTGGACCTCACGCCGCCTCCTGACGTCATCGTAAAAACGTCGCCCGGTACCAGTGAGGGCATGAACGTGTTGGGGATCGTTATATTTTCTGCAACTATGGGTGAGCGTTTTGTATGCATCCTGCAAACATTTGAGCACAAAACACCCCAGAAACACAATTATCACAGCTTGAAAGCTTCCCTGTAGGTGTTCGCTGGTAATGATAATATTTACCTGGGTTCACAAACAGCAGGTTTATTTTCCCTTTTTTTTATATAACCCTCATTACAGGAATAATGCTGGGGAGAATGGGACCCAATGGATCCGCCTTGGTCAACTTTTGTCAGAGTTTGAATGAAGCAGTTTTGAAGATTGTTGCCATCGTCATTTGGTAAGAGAATCACAAGACATCTGGAAATAACTGTAACAATACATCTCTCTCAGTCCAACACCAATATTTTCTGGAATTCTTAATTTACTACATCAAAATCTGATTAAGTATTTCTTATCTATGAAATATATATCTATAAAGCAGATATATACCTATTTATATATATCAGTGTAAGGTATTAAAATTGCATTATTTAGTAGGTTATGAAACTCTCGGGTTTGCATAAAGCAAATAAGAAAATAATGTAAGTGAAAATACAAGAAAGGTCTAAGAAAAGAGAAAGTGACTTTCGCCTCAAAGGAACAGATATAATAAATAAATAAATAAACAGGTTCAAAACCAAAATAATGGATTGGACCATTAAAGTAAAAGGATTTAATTTGTGAATCGATGATGGTGATTAAAACACATTTTAAATGTATCAAATGCTGGTGAAGAGTCCAGTGGATTGTTTTAAATTTTTTGGAATACAATGTATCAAACTTAGGGTTTATGGATATAATGATTGTATTACGTTTCAAATATAGAAATACTTCTATGATATTTTAAATACTATAAATGTGGATACATGAGAAAAGATGGATGTAAATATTATAACGGAACTAATGCAGAGTTGTTGGGAAATTAATTAAGGGGCTGATATCAAAAGATTGTTCTTCTCTCTGCTCCTTTTTATTCAAAATGCTTTGCTTTGTGTATGTGAATATTAAAGTATCTTTTAATGAAATGGAGAAATAAAAAAACATATATTTAGGGAACCATCATTGCTCATTATATCATTGCTTACAAAAATCAGGAGCAAAGTTTATTCCATCGTGTTTAGATGGAGAGCACGTGATGTTTGGATAAACCACCATAGGGAGGGACACCCAGCAAAACACTTAGACAAGAAGGGCATTAATAAAAGAGATGCAGCACAGAAACCAAAGGTTATCCTGAGGAAGTTACAGAGCTCCACAGCAGAGACAGGAGGATTTGTCTATAGGATCATAATAAAACCATTTAGAGCTGGGGTTCAAGGAGAAATGAACAAGAAAAAAAGATGTGTTATAAATTAGAAGGTCAGAATTTAAACAAAAGTCCTGATGGCAACTCCACAAGGAAGGTCCTGTAATCAGATGAGTCACTTTCCATTCACCAAAGGAAACGCTACGCCTGCCGTAAACCCACCAAAACACCATCTCTACAGTAAAAAACTTTGACTTTTAACAACACTTTATTTACTAAATCAAAACAATATAATCAATTATTCACATAAAACATATGTAAAAACATGTGTCAGCCAAAAATAACTTAAATGAGGAGCTTGTTATATTGTAAATCTTCATCATCTGGCCTGTACATAACATTTTGTCAAAATTCTACAAATGCATAAAATGCTCCATGTTCTGTGTGGCTCTGTGGAAGTGAAACTCCAGCCTTATTCTGGCTTTAAGGTTACACTTCCACGGAGCCACAGCATCAAGGTGAGCTCCCACCTGCACTCTGTCTCTGTGGAACAAGTAAATGGCCATTTTTGCTTCACCAATTAAAAAATGTTACAGTCGGGCCTGTGGCTTGTTTCTGTTATATTTTTCTTTGACTGATACTTACACTAACAAATAACAAATAACAAATAACAAACACTAACAAATAACAAAGAGTGACTGAACAGGAGGAGAATATAAGAAAGAGAGAACCAAAGAAAAGGCTAATTAGCAGATTGGGGGCAGGTGTGAACAGAGGCAAAAAGGGAGCTAGGGTAAAGGAGACTGACACAAGAGAGCAAACAGGAAATACCAGAATCTAAGAACTCACATATAATCAAAATAACTAGAACACAAAAATGGGAATAAGACCTATGAAAACTCGGACATAAAACTTGAACCGAACCAAAACCATGACAAACACTAATACTGACACTCATTAAAAGGCTAAAAATTGTCTTTAGTCTTGTGCATTCCATTAAAAACGTGAAATACATTTTCAGACAGACCGCAGAAAGGATAGTCATTTAAAACACCCCGAATAACAATGGATAAAAATGAGTTTTTGTTGATGCCACCCTATAAAATCCTTCACTGGAGATCACCATTTTGTTTATTAATTGGAGGCTTGTATAAAGTCTCCACTGGGATGCTTTTTCTCAAGTTTTTCTGTCCAGATGCAGACTGCCGGTTTTAAAGATGTCGTTGGTTAATTTATTTAGTGCAGCTGTGGTAAAGGGCTTTCTGGTCCATATTCAATAATATCATTTTCTGTGGGTCCAGGCTGGAGAGTAGAGGTCCACTTTGTCCAAGGAAGCAAGTATCCACGATCAGGCCAGGAGTCCGTAAACACGGTGGTGGGCTTTAGAGATATTTTTCAACAGGGATTCTTGCAAACAAAGTGGTGTCATTGTACCGGTGATTTGAGGCTGTAAAACATTTAAATGTGCTAGAGCAGCCTAGTCAAATTCCAGACATCAATTCAATTCATTGCTGTTCAAAAGATACATAAAGGAACTGGGGCTGTTTTATGGGAAGAAATCCCAAAAGCAAGATATTTTAAGCTTATAGAGAGCAATCCCAATTGCTGCAAACTGTGGATCTACATTTAACAGTTATTTATGCTCAGTTTTCTTTATCTTCTGCTTTTCCTTTGCTTGACTAGCAATAAAGAAAAAAAAAACTTTAAAATTGCAAACATGTTCAGTTAATTAAATCTCTCAAACACTTAAGCAATCTACTGTATGCTAATCCCAGACTGTGAGAATAGAAAAAAAAATTCTCCCAAGGGAGATTAATACTATTGCAAGTCACTGTAAGATTAATTATCCCATTATGCTTAAATTTGGGGGGATTTGGAACACCAGGGGTGTTTTGACAGTATTGTGGGTGAGAAATGTTTGTTTTCTGTTTTCTCATCCAATGTGGATCCTAAAATAACTGTGTGTCAGATTTGCATCATATTTATTGCACATAAGAAAATAATTCTAGTAAAAAACAGACTTGAGCACATCCCTTTTCTAAAAGCTTTATAAATAAATGGTCTCAAAACATTTTCCAGTCAAACAAAAGCGTAAACTGGACACCTCCCTTTTATAAAGGCAATCATCTGAGAGCCTCTTTCAGACCCACAGAAATGTGTAATTTTCTATTTTGATCAATAAAGATATTGGGTAATTACTTTTTTCATCAGAGGGTGAAAAGGAAATAATTCTTAATAAACGTATTTTGATTTTTAGTTGAAAGGAAACCTATTTTTGCTTACGGTGCAAAAAGTTTTCAGAATGAGAAATGATGACAAGTAAATTGTGAATTTATTTCAAGACTTTACGAATGTTTAGGGTCATACTCTTAATTCCTTTGACCTAAATTCTTATTTTTTTTTATTGATCTTGTATTTATGTTTGAAGAGGTTAAAGCCACAGCATAAACACTGGGGAAAAAAACGATCTAGAAATAAGTAAAAAGTTCTTTAAGTGTATTTTCCTTTAATTTGAGTAGGTGAATGAGACAGTTTTCCAATGGAATGAATATTTTTACTCTTAAAATAAGATAATTACATAATATGCACTTACAATAAGACAATGCAATTGTGTTTTCTTATTTTAAGTGTAAATTGTGTTGTTCCATTGGCAAAATGTCTCTTTTACCTCCTCAATTCCAAAGCAAATGCACTTAGATGAGGCAAAAATCACTTGTCTAGATTTCAATTTTTCCAGTGAATCTACACCTTAGCTTCCTAAAGATCCTGACTAGGATTAGTCTTTGACTCTTTAACAGCCCATCAGTTATTGACAATGTCTATTAAGGTTTTGTGGAGGTCAGGTTGAGGACCCAAATGCAGAAATGAGGAGGCAGATGAGTTTTGCTGATTTAGTGAAAGATCCAGAGACAAACAGGAACAAAAATACAAAATACTGAAAACCAAATAATCAGGAGATGCTTGGGAGAAACACACACAGGAAGCAAAGTAACAACAAAGCAACAAAACAACAAGAAACCAGCAACGAGGAACTGCAGAGGTGGTGTATATATGGGGAACAGAACAAAGGATGGACCAATGAGCTGATATGGAGCAGGTGTGAATGGAACTAACTAGAAAGGAGCTGATGTGAAAGGAAACATGCACAAGGGGGCAACAGAGAGTAACTCGAAAACACAACACTGTTAGAAAACAACTACAAAAAAACAGAATTACAAAGAATCTAAAAAATACGAAAAAAAGAGGGCAGAACCCTGGCACTCTAACTGCTTGAAGCAGCAGTTCACAGCTTAATCCTGAGGAAATATCTCATTATTATCTACCGGTAATATCAAATCATCTAATTAATTATAATAACATAAGGAAGGTGGAATTAAAGTCCAAACATGAAAGACACCGGCGCCAGCAGAGACATACTTAACTTCTTCAATATAGTTATCTTGAGGCTAAACTTTTGCCGACACAGTTACTATGGGTACAAGCAACCTATTTAAACCACTGGAAGGAAAACAATCAAACTATTTTTAAGCTTTTAATTACTAAAGATGGTATTTTGTACAATCCCATCCTGTTTTTATCTCTTCCTTCATCTTTCCAAGTTATTGGCAACATGTTATGTGAAATCTTCTAACTTTGCAAAGTTTTAACAAGTTTCCTTCCTTCCTCTTCTGTATCTTCTCTCACCTGCAGGTATTTTCCCTTTGGCATTGTCTTCCTCGTCGCCGGGAAGATCTTAGAGATGGATGATCCTTCAGCCATGGGGAAGAAACTGGGCTTTTATGCCATCACTGTGGTCATGGGCCTGGTGCTGCATGGTCTATTCATTCTTCCTGCCATGTACTTTTTCATCACAAAGAAGAGTCCCATAGTGTACATTCGAGGCATTCTGCAGGCTCTGCTCATCTCCCTAGCCACCTCTTCCAGGTAAAATGAAAAACATCTGCTTTGACAGTCCTTAATTTGTATTTGCTAATTTTATGATAATGTTGTCTTCTTCAGTTGACCTAATATTTTACATCTCAGCCAAACAATGAACTTCTACAGATTCTTTTATACCTATTTTATGCCACCTAGTTATCGATTTAGCCTGGAATGATACAATAATCAGTAAAATCAATCAATCAAATTTTAGATGTAGAATGTCTTTCATATGTGTACAATCAACACTAGAGTAGTTAAACATATTGCAAACTATTTAGGAAAAATTTAAGCATAAAGAATTATAAGAGAGAAACTATCTGTAAATATTGAAACTATCATAACCTGAAACATAAACAGTGTAAATGCAAAAATTAAGGTATTTGTGAACAATTTTAATCTAATAATAAATAATATTTTTTAAAATTACCAAAACTAAATAAAGGCTAGAATTATGAATATGACTACATGATGTTTGAATGAAATGAGACACTTTATTATAACTGAATCTCACTACATCTCAATTAAAATCTAATCTAAATAATTTAGTTTTCTTTTACTGAATCCAAATTTTTAGCCGTCTTCATGAGAGCTGATAACTAAGGTGGTGAATATAAGATGGATGTGATGGGAGCTGGATCTCTGCTCTTAGTCACCGTTTTTTTACCTAATTTCTGAAGAAGGTGTCATAACCTTGGATTACTTTAAAGACAACTATAAAACAGAGTGATAAAATATTATATTCCACAAGTTATCTCTTAATAGATATCCTATATTAGGTAATTAAGGAAATGGTTGCACTCCGCAGTGGTTATTAGATCCTAAAATGCATTTTTTTATTAAAAAAAAAATTTAATCTGTGTTTGTGAGACCAAACTGTGAGACAAGGTTTGTGTTTAAAGTGAACTCTTACGTTCTCTCTAAACATTTGCACTACTAATTAAATTGTTTTTTTTTCTTCGATGATATAGCAAATTCTTTGACATTCATAAATCTAAAAGGTGACACAGTTACATATAATATGGGCATCATCACCGAAGCCCTAAAAGTAATGCCATGTTCAGTGATTGTGCAACTAAATGATAGTGTAGAGATATCAAAATGCATGGGGACAATAACTAATCCCTGCGGAACACGTTATTTTGAAAAAACATTACAAATAACAAGTTTCCTATTGTTTCAGCACAGCTCCAGAAATCCCACTTTTTCAGAGTTTATTTAATGGTTTGGGTTTGTCAACAATATAAGACGTGTGACTAAGAGCTAGTAATACTAGTATTAAAGGTTTATTGTCATTTATTATGTATTCTAGTTTGATAGAAATCATTAGCAATGCAATGTATATACTGTGACTGAATCTAAAACACGCTGGTTCAAAACAGAAAGGAATACCCCAAGAGTTTAAATGAGAACAAATTAATTTTCACTTAAAAACATTGAAAAATTTGACTTTTTTTTAAGCTCATGTTTAGTTAAGATTTGCCTAACTTAAGACTGCTTAAATTAAAGCTTAGACACTTTGTTTCCTTTTAACCACATCTAGATGTATGTGTATGTCTTTATATGAAGGGCTTTTAGTTCTTCACCTTTTAAACAACTTTATATGTTCCTTAGAGTAGAAAATGGTCTTACACACAATCGTTTCACATTTAGCACATAAGGAGAAGGTGGTTTGAGAAATGAGTCAGTCTACATGTAAAGGTAGTTATTATAGAACATTTCTTCAGACTGACAATAAAACTCTAGCCTCTCCCTTATCTCACAAGTAATTATATTTCCACTTATGGTTACACAAAAGAAGAAACAACACATAGAACACCAAGGTCAGCGTTCTTATATTTTCAATTAGTTAAAGAGAGAGTCAAAAGGGTGAGCAAAGAAATAAAATGAGAGAAAAATATGTCTGTGTGCTTTATTGCGTTCCCATCTGAAGACTGCAGATATTTAGTCAATAGTGAACTAAAGTAGATTCTGATCAACAGCTGAGTCCAACGTTGTTTTAGACGTGAGCAGGTAGATTGTATCATAGCGTCAGGCTGAACATGCATCGTGAGCTGTAGCTGCATGCAAACATTTTTAAAAATCACACAGTGTATGCCCGGCTTTACTCTCAAATCAATTTGGTTAAACATTTAAGCTTTAGATTTCTTCTTTTTTTTTTCTTCAAATTTCAATTTACAAAATTATTTTTTTTAATTTTCTTTTTATAACACTTGGGCTGTGTCAAACATGAGCTCTAACCCCTAAATCCCTTAATCACTATTGTCAGGTCTAAGCACCTAAAAAACATCATACATACATACAGGGAAAGAAAGAAGGCACAGAGACAATTAATTTAGTTTTACTCGCGAGGAGAGTAGGAAGAGACTGCAGAGTTTACAAATCTCCATCCCACTCTGCAGTCCCAGAGTTCTCCTCGCTATTTATTGGAATCAGTGGTCCCAGCTGAGACTACACGGGGGGAAAAAAGACATGGAACTCAGACTTGCAGTCTCAGTAAACATGTTCTTTAAATCTCAGGGTTCAGTCAAAGTTTAAGCTGTTGAAGCTGTTCACCAAAGTTCAGCAGGTTGAGTGCTGCTCGTAAATCAACCACAAATCACAGTATACTTCAGAAAAGATGGCTATGAACACATGCACAAAGCACACAGCTTTATGCATTATAACACTACACAGATACATTTATATACAATTATTCTAACAACGATACAGAGCGAGGACTATATAGTGGACTCTATAGTGAACTCAGTTAACTGACCAATCGGACAGATGATCACTACTTTTCGCTCCCTGTTGGTAATCTGGCTCTGCCTCCCCGCACTGTGCCTTTGGCATCTTTATTAGTCGCCGCTCTGACAAAATATCCCATAGTGCTTTACAAGGAGAACTTTCCTATCAAACCATTCGGGGATATATCTGCTCCTCTAGTGACCATGCATGACCCCTACTTTTCAAAGTGCATTGTGGGAAATTTTGAGTCCACTACTTGTTCATCCACTAGACGTTTGGACACCACTATATAGTGATTAGGACTTTCGACACAGCCATGGTTTTTTCTAGCAACAAATATGGGATAAAATTCACTCCATAAGTGTGATCTGTAAAAAGCAATTTGAAAATAATGCAAGTTGTAAAACTGACCTTTGAAAAACTATAATTTGAAAATGTAAAATATGTAGAAAAGTTTTTTTTTAACAAAATTAGCAAAACTGGAACATTTGATTAGACATGACTTCAGAATTTATAATCAAAGAAAAAACAATATTACTTTCAAAATCCTTTTTTTTATTAAGAATGTTTTCTAAAGAGTAATTCTGGATTTCATTGTTTTCAAATTTTCCTTGAAACAATAACGGAACAAAATTTACTCCATACTGAAGGAACAGCGATGTTGTTCAGATTTGATGAGTAGAGGAACGGAGCATTTCCTCCAAGAACACCTGCTACATTTCTCAATTTTTGGATTAATATCTCAAACTTTTTTATAAATGCATGTCAACTTTCTTCCTTGTCAAATATTCGCTACTTTGTGTTGGGTTGCAGAATAACATCACATCTTAATAAAAGAGATTGTGACAAAAGACGACAAAATGTAAGATGTTTAAGCAGCTTATTTAACCACAATATGTATTTTATTTCAATCTATTTGAGTTGTGGCCTTTTAATGAATGAAGAAGGTAAATTACTGTTTACAATAATTAAAATCATTATCTTAACAATAATTTAGCTCCTTCTGAGCTCCTTTAAATTGACGATGTATCCTGATAAATTCCCTTTACAATATTTTGGGCTTTAGTCTGAACTTTAATAAGATGTGCCCTTCTTTTCCCTATAAAACAATGAAACTGATCTGTTTTCAACATTAAATTATGAGTAAGATTTCCTTTTTTTCCTTTTTTTTGTGGTTTTCTCAAGCTCTGCCACGCTGCCTATCACCTTCAAGTGCCTCCTAGAGAATAACCACATCGACAGGCGCATCATCCGCTTCGTGCTGCCGGTGGGAGCCACCATCAATATGGACGGCACCGCTCTCTACGAGGCAGTGGCAGCCATCTTTATCGCCCAAGTGAATAATTATGAGCTCGACTTTGGGCAGATCATTACCATCAGGTAAAGTGCAGGATGATGATGAAACGACTCTCTGACTTTTCAGTGAAGGTCGTGTGAATAAATGTCAGCTTGTGGAAAAGGTTTGAAAAGGGATATTAGCCCAGCTGTATGAAATCTCTTTAAGCATCTTCAGCAAATATTTGACTTACAGAAGGTTCTTTTGGTTTAAATAGAAAAATACTAAATTCAATTGTTTCCCTGTGTGCTTTTAGAGAAGTAGTCAGGTTAAGTAATGCAAGATTTCAGACTCGCCGTGGTAATGAAGCTTTGTGATGTATTTTGTGGATCTAAAATGAGCTTGCTCCTTATAAGCTCCTAGCTGTACTTTAAAACCTGCTTGCAAATGAGAGCTGGGAGTTTAAGGCGCTTGATATTTACCTCTTGGTGGAATCCCATGTTGAATTTTTTTCCTCTTGACCGAGAATAAAGGATGATTTCACTGCTCAGGCTGTTGCATTGCTTCATTAAACTACGACTCTGAGGCTTAATGGATGTAGGGCACTAAATCCCTGAAGAGAAATGCCTCTGGACACTTTTTATTCTGATTTGAGGCAAAAATCTGGACAAATTTATCCCGTTAAATGGTAGAGAAACAAATTTCTACTTAAAATGTTTTCAGGTAATGGAGGAGTAAAGTAGCTTATTACACATAGAAGCTACATGTATATATTTTCCAGAAAAAAATGCAGCCACACATCAATTTATTTTTAATGAAAGAAAATTAGATCCGTTCCAAACATTTTTTGTATTCATTAGAGAAAATGACGCCTGAAGAGGTTGTTATGAGTTTCGTATTTGACTAAATTTAGCATCACACATTAAATTCTGAGTTATTAATACTATTATGGGATTGACTAGATTCTGGTATATGTAAATGTCACATAGATTATAGCTGGTATGAGCCTCTTAGCCTGATCTGATTTCAGATGAATCAGACTCCTCAAGCTCAGTGCAAACACAGAAATCAGCCGCTCTATCATATCATACCCCTCATGTCAAGATAAACGTCCTGATCCTCACCTGGTTTAATGAGATGTTTGATTGTAATATCATTAGAGCACACCTGTCTTCATGGCTGAAGTCTGCACACAGTCCCTCATTATAATCCCTCCGCAGTAAAACCCACATGACCTGTATTTCTCATCTCACGTCACGACAGAATTATAATCATTTTCCTCTCTGTCGCTGTGCTGTTTGGCTCCTGACCATGAAAGCTCCTCCATCTGTATGCTAAGCCAAACCCAAGCTCAGTTTGCAGGGAGAAATCTGAATTGACCCTTTGGAACAAAGAGCAGCAACTGTGGTTGAAACCAGACATTTATATAAAGTGTTATTTTGGGGGGGTGGGGGGTTGCGATTAAATCAGACAGAAGGTTTTCTGTTCTGTTTTTACTATTATGAAAATTATTTAGTTTGCTAAATGCAAGAATTTTTGTGTGTGTCAATAAAGGCCCCCTAATGGGTCGTGAAGGTACTGCAGGAGGGTGGTGAAACGTTATGCATTACCTTTAGAAGAACAAATAGCTTGCATCAACACCTAACGTTTATTTGATTTGATTATTTTCAGTTGGAAATTAGTTGTAAAACTCTCTTACTGTAACAGCTGCTGCTGTCTGCACCACCTAAACTCCTTGGACAAACATAGCAAGGGGGTTCTTGTTCTATCTGCTTATCAATAAAGATTTTCTGATTTAAAAAACAAAACATGAAGAGCCCTGCTTTAAGGTAGTTGGTAAAACCCAGACATAAAAGCTTTGAAAGCTTCTGACAGGTTAACCCAGAGTTATCTGACGTATTTAAGTGCATAATTCAAACATGTGTGGCGGTATGGGGAAAAATCAACAACAGCCAAGATATTAGGAAGAGAACACCAGATTACCAGAAGGCTTGTCTTTTAATGAGTTCAATTTCCAGATGACTAATGATGCATGAACCCTCATACAACTGCCATGTCCCAGAGATTTTCTTTACCTAGAGGACCTGTGCTTGAACAGTGAAATGAGTTCTGCACCAACATGGCATCTTAGAGAAGAGGAAGCTGTTCTAAAAGCAGCATAAAAAAAACAGATTACAGCAAATGCTCTCGGGGACAAAGACCTTAATGCTTGGAGGATTGTCCTCAATAACCCGAAGCATGCAGCCAAATTATTTGTAGCTTTTAGGACAACAAAGTCAGTGTTTATCAACATAAGACTCTAAAATAAAAAATGTCTCTTTTTAATACAGCAAAAGTAAAAATTGGACCTCAGACTGCATTATAACTGAGATAATGTCAGAAATTCTGAATTGTCATAGATTTGGCAAAGGTTAAAGGTATAGTGAAGGATGTTCTTCTTCTTGATGGATCATCAAAATAAGTGGTCTTCCTAACTGTCAATCATTCTGGTGATATGTTTATGTAAGGTTGTCCTAAGTGTACCTAACAGGTGATGTGCCAGCAAATACTTGGCTGCCGAGAATTACTTCCCCTGCACTGATGAGAAAACGGATTGAAATATGAACGAAAAAGACATTTTAAACATTTCTTAATGTTTTCATATTTCTTATGCATGGATGCTCGAAAACGGAGAGTTTCGGTGGACAGATAAATTCGAATGAATACGATTTTTACTTGGATGGAGATATTTCCTAGCCTGACGTAGTCCTACTCAATTCTAGTCAGAATATGAGTCTGATACTGCTCCATAGAGCTGTGATTATGGGGCGTGTTTCAAACGAACCAGGAAAAAAAAATGCCTCTGCACTCAATTGGATAGACCTACAACCAATAAGAGCAACGGAGTGCGTGACGTATGTTAAGCGACGCATAGGTGTTGTCAACAAAAATCAAAGCGTGCAGTTGCGCGCCTAGAATAAGAAGATGAGCCTTGATCGCGTTTCTCTGTTCCTCTTTTAAAATTTATTTGCTGTCGATATCTTCTAGAACAGACCTAATAGCAGAATCTACACACCTCAACTCTCCAGCGGCAGCCATTGTTGTTGTCACCCAAGCGCGCTTTGGTTACGCGGTTGATTACGTTACTGTTGACCATCTGTCCATCATCGTATAAAGCCCGCCCTGACAATTTGATTGGCCCGCCAGATATTGTGCTAGCATACTCGCGCTACTGTTGAGCAATGCCAGACCAAACTTCCCGACCTCAAACGTTGTGGGCGGGACTAAGTTCGGAATGGCACCCTGGCTGGATATTTCCCGCATTTGCTATCAACTCCATTCTAGATCATTTCTGACAAAACATTAATAATATGTTTAAAAGTTCCCTTTCATTCACATTTTAATCCGTTTTCTCATCAGTGTGCGAGAGGGGAGGTAAATCTCAGCATAACACGGTAGTGAGTCTGACGTAGTGGAAAAATTGCAAATCTTCTTTTGGAAAGTAAGCTTGTATGAGCGATGCAAACAGCAAATTTTAGTGTGCACTAGGAGAAATGTGTTTTGTGTATTCTCTTGCATGCATTTAATAGGCATTCCCTCTCAGGAGCGGGTACAGGGTTGTGCATGTGCATTTTTGTTTTAAAAGTAGAGAGGGTGGGTCTTTTAAAAAATTCCTTAAAATCCTCCACTGTACCTTTAAGCTCTAAGGTTCTGATTGAATCATGATTGGTGGAAACTGCAAGTTAAAACTTCCTGGAAGGGCATAGTCAAAGACTTGATCTTTTACTACAAATTTTCAAGTTATGGTATTCTTAAAATATTACAAACATTACAAATATTAAACTACAGCTTACTGATCGACTACTGAACAACCTTGAAAAAGTCTAGAAATCAATATTATTCCTTGAAATATGAGACAAATGATACTGTACACACAAAAATACATGAAAATCGCATGATGTCACATTGCAGGAAAAATACAAGATGTGAAGCTGTGATGTTGGACTAAAATACTAATTTAAAAGAAAGAAAAATCTGACTAGGAAATAAATTGGAGAAGCAGGGAACTCTATAATAGAGAGAACATTTCAGACGCTGCTCCCCCATTCCACTTTTTTACATTCCAACACGTTTAGAAGAACAATTGTAAATCAATCTCTCATACATTTGTTTTTGATGATGGATTTTTTTTTTCTGATTTCCATCTCAGCATCACTGCCACGGCCGCCAGTATCGGTGCAGCAGGAATCCCTCAGGCTGGACTTGTTACCATGGTGATCGTTTTGACCTCTGTGGGTCTACCGACTGATGATATCACTCTCATCATTGCCGTCGATTGGGCCCTGTGAGTAAAACCTTTTTTTCCTTTTTCTACTTTCAAAAAGAGGAATGGAAGTCAGGAATCAGGGAATTCCTTAGAAACCTGTCTGGCTTTCTGCCTTACTATATGTAAACGTATTGATGTGTTGATAAGATCACAGTATGAACATTGTTGAACCTCAAGTATGGATAAAAAAAATGAAAAATAAAAAAATAAAAAAAACAAGGTTTCTGCACACCTTCACACTTCACAACAGAAATGGGATCACATGAAAATCAAACCCGTATCTCTGCTTCTGTCTCCTTGAACCCCAGTCGGCCTCAGCAGATGGCCGCTCACACTGAGCCTGGTTCTGATGGAGGTTTCTTCCTGTTAAAAGGGAGTTTTTCCTCTCCACTGTCGCTACAAGCATGCTTAGAGTGAGGGATTGCCTCCGAGTCAATCAGTCGATGCAATCAACTGGTTTTCCTTCGATAGAAAACTTTGAATGCATGCAACTGTAGCGACCTCCTTTTCTTGTGTTGCACGTCGTGATTGTTCAAGACTCTTCAACAATCAGGGTCTGAATACTTATGACCATTTCATATTTAAGTTTTTCTTTTTTTAATAAATTTGCAAAAATGTCTACATTTCTTTTTTTTTTTCTGTCAAGATGGGGTGCGGAGTGTACATTAATGACAAATAAAATTAACTTTATTGATTTTAGTCAATGGCTGCAATAAAACAAAGAGTGACAATTTTAATGGGGTCTAAATACTTTCCATATCCACTGTACATCGCAAGCTGTGAACATTTGAACTCTGCGATTAATTCGCACAATTTGAGCTGGGGCTGCGAGCAAATGTTGTTGATCCCAGGTTTTAGGTTAATGAAATGCGCTGGACACAGCTAATGATATAGATATTAGTACTTCTATTTGATTACACTCCTTTTAATGAGGGGAAAACACATTTGGCTAAATGGTGCTTAAATGACAGCTCCATCTGACACAATAACCGACTTAAATAGTGGGGGATCCAATATGCTTTAACCCATTCAGTCCAAATCTGTCTATATTATCTCTAGTAACAAAATGCTGATGAATACATTCAAAATGTCTCCTAGGTAAAACTAGTTTTATGGAGTTTTGCAATATTTATCTAGGGAAATTTAAGGCCAAAGCTCCAAACAGTAGGTTTTTTTATGTTTTATCATAAATAAATAAGACAAAGTAAATCATGGTAATCATTTTATGTCTTACCTTTACACAGGTACCAAAAAGGTCATATTTAGATGTAATTATGGAGCTGTTTGTAATGTATTTCAGGCTAAAACCCTTTGAGCTAATGAGGCAGATTTTAATCAATTATTTCCTCCTATTGTAGTGTTTTTTTTAGCTCTAACTACGAATCTCCTCTAACTGTTATTCAGGGATCGATTCAGGACCATGGTCAATGTGATGGGCGACGCTCTGGCTACAGGCATCATGGCTCATATCTGCAGAAAGGATTTTGTCAAAGAAGGAGAGCAGGTGAGTGCAAGACAAGCTGGATCGATGCAACTCAGTTGGTAGACATCTGTTTTATTCTTAGTTAAAGAGAAAGAAATGTGGTACATGGATGGATAAATAGTCACAGAAGTTTGCCGCCTCTGGATGCATGGTATAAAAACAGAAAGTTGATAGAAAGAGGAGAAGCAGTTGCAAGCATTAAAGACGAAACAACATCACTTTAATCACTTGCTGCATGCTGTTAGCGCCTCCATACAGCATCGAGTAGAAACCAGGAGAATCTCTGCATGAACAAACCCTTGAAGGGCTTCACATCCACTGGCAGTAATTCAAAGTATTTTTGATTTAAAAAAAAAATGCACCATTTTCATTCACAAACCATTTGGAAATCTTACATTTTTCCTCAGTAAGTTATAATAAAAAAAACACTTTCTAAAAATCTAATTTTTAAAACCTGATACTTAATGTAAAAGTGCAGCTTCTTTTTTACTTGAACTGGATGATAGTTTTACAAAATGTTGAGCAAGGCTTTAACCCGTTAATGCACCAATGATTTAACATAATGATCTTTAATATGTTTACACTTATTGTAAGATAAGCAGGATTAGTGGCCTAGTGGTTGGGGCATTGCGCATGGAATACGGAGGTTCTGAGTTCAAGTCCCACTCCCACGGAATGACACTCTGGGGGTTAAGGGTCTTGTTCAGAGACCAAAACTGTTCCCGGGCACCACACAATGGCAGCCCACTGCCCACCAAGGGGATGGGTTAAATGGAGAGAGTGAATTTTGTTGCGCTGTACTTGTGAGAATGTAATGATAACAGAGGCGTAGCCAGAACATTTTTATAAGGGTGGCCAGGCAATAACCAATGTAGACAAAGGGGTGGCCGAAAGTAGAAAGGGCACCAAAACCTCAGGGTCAATCTACACTGTTTCAACAGGAAAATTAATTAGGAAAACATCCATATTTTCTTGATAAAGACAAACTATACTTTCCCACAGCCTTTGCTAACAAATAGACAAATATATTCAAACATCCTTGCTATCTAGATAGAAGGTATAGTGGATAAAATTCTTTCAGGTTTGAGTTTTGGGCAAACATTGTAATGAGACAGAGACTGGATCCAAATAAACCAAGACAGGTTAGTGACGTTTGATCGGTTTATTGAACAGGTTAATCTGAGAGCGGGACTGAATCTGACTGGGGGAAACAGGCTGCAGGCGGAGAGGCAGGCAGATTGTGAGAGGTTTACCGGTTTGTGATCCAGGAGGTGAAAGGCAGGCAGTTATGCGGAGCTTCTCCGAGTTTGTGATCCAGAGAGAGGGGAGCAGGCAGTCCAATCGGAACGACTCAGATCCAGAGGCAGAGCAGAGAGGATAATCAGGCAGGTTGAATCAGACAGGGGTCAGGCAGGCTCGATATCAGGAGGCAGATCGGGTCAGAAACGGGTAGACAATCAGATATTCTTTAGATGCTGGACTATTCTTAGCAGGTTGGCACGAGATAATCTGGCACAGAGGACTGATTTGATGGGGTTTATATACTGCTGGAAACAGGTGACTCCGGTCAGAGCTGATTAGGGACGGGTGGAGCAGAGCAGGTGTATGGACTGAGTGATCAGGCCAGAATCAGTGCAGAGACCATTACAAACATCTCTTTCATTGTCATTACTTACCTACTTTTATCAGTAATCATTTTGCATAAAATTAATGTTTTACAATTACTAATATCTACATAAATTGATTATTTAATAAGTTTTTATTAAAATAGTTATTTATCTATGATTTCACTGACTACTCCTAGATGACTTGCACTAAATCTAAATCTATTTCTGCTTGAATTCTGTACTTATTATCTTTAATGTTAGTATATTGATGTGCATAATTAACCACAGTGTTTTTGTTGTCAAGTAATCATTAATATATGAAAAATTAAAATGTTTTAAATATTCCACTTGAGTATTACTGTTGCCACCATCTGTATTAGAGGGAAACAAAGGTAGGAGTGGCCATAGGTGGCCAATGATTGGCTAAGAGTGGCCATGGCCACCCCTGGCCCCCCATCTAGCTCCGTCCCTGAATGAAAATAAAAGCTGGGGGGAAAAAATGTAACATTAATTAATTAACAGGAGGTTCTTTAAAGATTTCTACCCTTGTCTCTTTTAGGTTCCTCTTATATGTGAGACCAAACCTATGATAAGCATCCAGCAGATGATGACATACCAGAACCAGAAGAACGGCTGCTACCAGCCCCCACCGGGCAGCAGGCAGGACCACCTCTCTCCGGACGTGGCTCGCCTGATCCAGCTGGAGGAAGGCATCCGGCCGGTGGAGAAGAAGAAGCACGGCCATAACCCCCACCACAAGAGAGAGCACAGAGACAAGGACCACTGTTCTGTGGACATGAACGGCCTGGAGACAAATGTATAAAAAGCAGGATCCGATCCTGACAGCTGCCGGTCCGTCCATCTGCTGCTGAACAGCCAAGACAGACACAAGCAGAGGAGACTGCCTCACGTTCACTCTGCTCCCCTCCGAGGAGGAGGCAAACCAAGACTGGAACTGGAGGACAAAAAACAGACCTCTTTTTCTACTTATCATTATATGTCGACCCACATTATATTCTTGATGTTCATGTGTAAATATGTATTACAGGTATAATATTTAGTAGCAGCAGTGGCGACATGCTGCTCTTTAAGCAAAGCCTGGAAAAAGACTCCTAAAGAGCAGATTAAACAAGAAGAATCCAAAAGGGAAGCAGAAAAAAAAGTGTTGGATGATAATAAACTGCTGAAATCTTGTGGGGACTTCACCCAAAAAGGCATAATTTCATAGATCTTTTTTCTTATTATGTATCTGGAATGTTTTAGTATAATAACGATTACTAGATTTTCTATATTTAATTAATTCTTCTGGTTATTTACCGCCATCCCTGAAAATGTTTCCTCGTCAAATAAGACGTAAATAAACATGCGGGCAAAAAGGACAGGATTGTAAAACTGTGATGCCCATACGTTATGGCTTAAGTTCTCATGTCAGACGGCTAAAAAAAAAAAAAATAGTTGGTAAACTTTTCCTTCCACTTCTCTGCCTTGTTGTCCTTAACCTCATGGATCCTATGAACCCTTCCTGTATTGATGCATGCGAAAGCTGGAAGCCAATGCTTCCCTATGTAACTCAGATTGTCTCTTAAACCTCCCTCTGACCCCTCTTTGCCTTAAACAACCAAAAGAGAAGCCCTTGAGCCCCAGCATCTCTGCTACAGCACAATGAATCTACTCAACAAAGAGCAAGCCAACAGTCACAGACCATGTTCTGTTCCTGACTCATGTAGATTTTGATTTCTGTTTTATTTTTCAGCCTGTTTCAGCTCAAATCAATAAAAACACACAGCTGGATTTGAAACAACAGTGGTCCAACTCTGCTAATCAGATTAATTTGTTGTTNGCTGATGCTGAAAATGATAGTTTCAGTTTCCTTTCAGTTAAAAGTATAGAGCATGATCTTTAACTTCCGGGTGGATCATCAAAATAAGTGGTTCTCCTAATTGTCAATCATTCTGGTGATATATGGAGGAGGTGTCATGGGACCAACAGGGAGCAAACATCAGTGATCAGCTGTCCAAACGGTAAGATAACGGAGTTTACTATAAAGTCCACTATATAGTCCCCACTCTATATAGTGAGTAAGGGATTTAGGGGTTAGAGCTGACATTCAGGCACAGTAATCTGGTATGAGCAATGAGAACAGCAACTTTTAAAGAGTGCACAAGGAGAAATGGGCTTGTGCACGCTCTCGCAGGCGATTCATAGGCTTTCCTTCTCAGGAGTGGGTACATGGTTGTGCATGTGCATCTTTTTTAAAGTGGAGAGGGGTGGAAGTCTTTTAAAAAATTCACGAAAATCCTCCGCTATACCTTTAATAGCTCTGAACATCCTGTAAAGGCTCAGCGTAAAGCAGGAGGTCGGCGTGGTCAAAGACCAACTGATATTAATGAAATCAACCCATACACAGCAACTATTAGCCGATCATCCAATCCTTATCAGAAAATTAATGGGGGAAAAAATTTATGTTACTAACAAAGCAAACTTATTAATCAATAGTTCTCAATATTATCAATTTTTAATCAAATTAATCAAGCATTGCTGTCACTAGCATTAGTATTAATCGAGCCTAGGCGGGAATTCAACTGAAGAAACTCCTTGTTTTTTCAAACGTCCACCTGCGACACAGCCAATAAGCTTTGAACCACACCTCCATGAAAGCCAATCAGTATCCAAAGCTTATCTTAAAAGGCTTCCGATATGCACCTGTCTGCTCCTGTGCAAAGGCGGTGGTTGTGCTGTGTCACTTCATTCAGATGACACCGTTTCAACCCACCTCCAGTCCCTCCTCCACCATCGTAGCTAAAGCT